GTTGCGCTCTTTCTTCTCCCTTTTGGGGCCAATTGTAGAGTTTGTTTGTATGATTAGCTGTTACAGTTTTGTTCTCGCTTTTCTCATTTTTCTCTGACTAAATTTAATAGCTTGGTCAGATTTTGCAGGTAGAGGTGTGAAAACGGGATGGTTAGACCTGTTCTATGATGGACAAAAAAAATTGATCCGCAGCAGGTCAGCTCGCCCGTTGGGGACATCTGAAACCCAAATCCGTTGAAGCAACTGTCCGTGGTTTAGTGTGTCGATCCGTACGCTAAATTCGAATGACTACAAAAAAAATTAGAAACAATTTCTCATATTGAGTAGGATATGTAATCCAGTAATTTGTTTTAATGTCACTGTCCAAGTTCAAATATACATATTGCATCTACTTGTAGATAACACATGGCCTATATTCACTTAGCTATTTTATGCGAATTTCCCCATGACTAGTTCCACCATTAAGTTATTCACATCCGATAGGGCACTCCTTAGGAGGTCTTCATTTTTGGGATTTCTGTGAATCGCTAAAGCTCCTCTGACTTGTTTAGAAACAAGCAACCAAAAAAGTTAACTATGCTCATCAAAACAAAGCTCAAGAATAATACAGAGAGTGGTGAAACCTACCTCCCAAGTCAAGAAGGCGATCATTTCCCGACGTTCTTCAAAAGGGAAGGAGTCAGCATCTCGGGAACGCAATTTATGTGTTAACTCTGCCAATTTCCTACGCAGCCCATCAACATCAACTGCACGATGTTCACGAGGCTCCATTATTTCCTCTATTTTCTTCACAAACCACCACAAGTTCTCCTTCACATGCCAACATTATATCTCAAAATCAAACATACAACATAGAAGAACAAGTCTATTATTACGTGATACTCGTAGTATGGAGGCGAATCTACTTACCGAAAACTTGCCAAGCAGAGTTTTTGATCCGAGCTCTCATCATCTCCAAAAAACTGAGCAGAAGAAATGGACTTTGCGTTTGGGAACTTGTTTCGTGCTTCATCTGAAGAAGTCGATAAGTCTTCCTTGAAATCAGAAGAAGATGCTTCCGTAGCAAGAATGTGCCTATACAAAGCAGCAGCTGTTGAAGTGTACTTAGCCGCTGAGATTTTGCCATGGTCAGTCCATCCATGTTCCTTGAAGAAAACCTGAGCTCGGTTGTTTCCACCAAACATCACGCCCTGAGCTGCTCAGGGCTCCATGAGTCCAAATTTGTCGATCTACAAGCAAAAAAACCGAATCTTTTTGTATAAATCTACCAACTGGGAAACGTTACACTTAATATATGGACAACTGGGATTAAGAGTTGTTTACCTGACGAAGCTGATATGGACACCGAAACTTCGATGAGTAGTAGCACAATCGATGCAGAGGAAAACTCCGTATGTGATCGATGCCCATGTCGGATTCTTCGCACTACAATCGAAGCATTCCTACAAATCCAACCGACATTAAACAACAAACCTAAGAATATCATAATCCAACAACGATGCAATCAAATATAATACAATACACCTTGTTCTCAGGTTTTGCTTTCAGTTTTGTTAAGACAAGATTTTTGTCGGTAAGATTCTCAGAAGTAGCCATCGATAAGATTTCGTCTAGGGGTTGAAAATGATTTCTTTTTTTTTTATCAGTAAATTTATCATAGGACCCAGTGAAAGAAAAATCAACCGAACCGGGAATGCTGTGATTTCACAGAACGGGCTAGCTAATGATGTTTTGGAGCTTTACGAAAAGATGAAATTATCGGGTGTTTTCTGTTACATTGGTTAGTGTTCTGTCGTCATGTGCTCATCTTGGAGCTCACAAGATTGGTCAGGAAGTAGAAAAGCTAATAGGAGCCAATGGTATTGTATCGAATGTGTTTGTTAGCAATGCATTGATCAGTAGTATGTAATATGCTAGATGCGGTAATTTGGCAAAGGCACGTGCTGTTTTCGACATCATACATGTAAAAGACTGCCATGATAGGTTGCTGTGGGATGCATGGAATGGGAGAGACTGGGCTTAAGCTTTTCGATGATATGATAAAAAGGCGGTATAAGACCCGACAAGGCAGTCTTTGTGATGGTTTTATCTGCGTGYAGCCATTCRGGGCTAACGGATAAAGGTTTAGAGTTATTTGGTGCGATGAAGAGAGAGTATAACTTGGAACCTGGCCCTGAACACTGCTCTTGCGTAGTTGATCTACTTGGAAGAGCTGGTCGACTAGATGAAGCCATTGAGTTTATAGAATCAATGCGTGTTGAACCAGATGGTGCTGTTTGGGACGCTGTATTGGGTGCCTATAAAATCCATAAGAATGTGGATATGGCARAGTTAGYTTTTGCAAAGGTGATTGARTGTGAACCCATGAACATTGGCTATTATGTATTGATGTCAAATATATATTCAGAYGCGAAGAATCAGAAGGGAATATGGAGAATCCGCCTAATGATGAGAAAGAGAGGATTCAAGAAAGAGCCTGGGTATAGTTATGTGGAACACAAGGGAAGAGTTCACTTGTTTTTGGTTGGCGACAGAAGTCACGAGCAAACAGAAGAAGTCTATAGAATGCTGGATGAGTTAGAGACTTCTGTGATGGAGATTGCAGGAAACACGGACAGTGATAGAGGCGAAGAGGTTTTGAACAGTAGACGTGAGCATAGCGAGAGGTTAGCAGTTGAATTTGGGATTCTCAACACTAGTCCAGGCGCAGGGATTCTTGTGATAAAGAGCCTGATTGTAAAGATTGTCATGTGTTCATCAAGAGGGTTAGCAAGATTGTAGACCGCCGGTTTGTTATAAGAGATGCATCTCGGTTCCACTATTCCAAAGATGGGGTCTGCTCGTGCAACGATTACTGGTGATTTTCCAAGCGTCTCACAAACTCAATGCTCAGATTGTAAGATTTGATATTTCACTTGCGCGGAATGTACTACAAGGGATGTATATAAACCAAAATGCTTACAAAAAAAAACTGAATGTTGAAGGCTGCACTTAACTACAGAAGTTTGCTTTCAGAAATAAGTTCATCTTCTACAAAAGGGATGGTTTTCCGGACAATCACCCTCATAGGAGCTCCTGCAAGAAGGAAAAAGATGCGAAGAAGAAAACACTAAATAAACTGATTCAGTGTCAAGAGCTATGTCAACTGAAATTGCACCTCCACTAGCTTGATCATCTTCAATACAGATTGCAGCATAATGATTTTAAGTCTAAAACAAACCTCGCAAAGATTGTAGCCTCCTCCTGTGCCAGCCTTCGACTGAATTGTGAAGGTATAAAAAGGTGCAGCAGAGAAACCTTTTCCTAATACTTTCACATATGCTTCCTGGATATAGAATCACCACAACTTTTGAGAGGTAACTGTTTTCCAGGCTCTTAAGTATATTTGTTCATGTACGTAGAAACTACCTTAAGAGTCCATAACTTTATAAATTGCTTTCGCTGAACTTCCGGGTCTGGTATAGTTGACAAAAAAATTCACTTCATCAGTAGTGTAAAATCTTTCCGTAAGTGATAAGACATTATGTTTTATCTTCCTTTCCTTGTCTTCAACCAACCTACAGTCGTAATACAATGCAACTGTTTAAATTTAAAAGCAAGAAACAACCGACACCGCAAATTTTGGCAAGAAAACTGTATGTGTTTGCCAAAGTAGAAGACTTACCGGAACATGTACTGTCACCCCACAGGCAATTAATGAATCTGTGTGGGAAAGGTTGAAATGCAATGGTGGGTTATTACACTTCTTATGATTCTGCCAATCTACCTGTAAGGAATTCAAACAAGAACACGTGAATTTCTTGCACTAAGCCCAGACTAAAAGTCTAGTCTAGTCTCAGATAACTGTCTCACCTCAGGCTTCCCATATAGATGAATTAGCATACATCTAGCAATGGTGGTCCGCGGGCAAGCAAAGCATTCTTCTTAAGCTCATGGCCTCTCATCCGAACAAGTTGAGAGTATTGTTTTAGAAGAGATGTACTTTTCACTTCATCTGGTAGAATATACCATAGGTGAGTCTCCCTAGATGAAATGGATAACACAATCAATGTCCATAACCAAATGACAAGAGTGCTGAAGATAAACTTGATCACTATTAAACCCATCCATGACAAGAACTTATCAGATGAAAATGACAAGATAAGTCCTACTCTACTCTACAACCTCGTGAACCAGATTGAGCTACTCTTCTTCTTCATTTTGGTGAATTCCAATATAAATTTTCAACTATGGATGAGAAGATCACGAAACGCTAAGGTCTCACGGCAGCTACATCGGGACGCTTATGACAATTGACGTAATTACCCTCAGCGCTTTGATTCCTCCTTACGTCGTCGTTTTGGTCGTTCCGTATCTAGCTTTGCAATGACCAAAATGATGTTTTCTCAAGTTCACAAACTTATAAGAAATTTTTTTATTGTGGCAGATTGATTATGGTCTTATTGATCACTTACTTAGTCTTGTGCGTAACAAAAAGTGTATCATCAAAAACTTCAACTGAACTCGAATTTGATCCCTCATATTAAAATGAAACGGAAAATACCAAAAAGATTCTGATACACAAGAGAAGAATTCTTCATTAACACTGTTTTGAATTCATAGTAGAGAAAACAACAAGGAAAAGAAAACCTTTACATATAAAAAGATCAGATAAGCTCTAAAGACTAACATGCAGACTTTTCTTTCAAGAAAGAGACAATAGAGACTTGGCTGGTGAAACCAAAGCAACGGCACTTCTCTCGGGCTTCGAATACTTCTTCAGCACTGCCCGTAGTTTGCTCTCCCCAGCTCTCGAGTGAATGAAAGCTAAAAGCTTCGAGGAGTTCCTAAAAGTTAACACAAACAAACATATAAAAGAGAAATCAGTATATAGATGATGATGAAACTGAAGCTTGAGAAAGAAGTGAACTAACATGAGCTCAAATTCAGAGTATCCAGTGTGGAATTTGAGAGTATCAGTCCAAGCAGGGGTCCTGTTCAAGAAGCATCTCGCGGTGTAGACCGCTGAAGCAGCGAGCATAGAAGGACAGAACATTAGAGTGTCGTGATGCATCAAACCCAACTCGGCTAAGAAGTGAACCATGTTCTCCATTTCCGGGTCAGGAACCGCTGCTTTGATGAACCTCACAAGGAACACATCTTGTGTTGGAACTGTCAAATACCATTCCAGACTTGCCAATATGGTTTTCTCCATCACTAGAATCTGCTTGTTGGTGTATGAGTTGTCTGTGACATATACCAAATCATCGACCTGTTCACACCACAATCCACATGGTCAGCTCTATAATCGACAAAAAATCTTGTAACATTAGTATATTTGTGTTTCTATATATACCTGAGGAGGCCAGATTTCTTCGTATTTGGAAGCTATGAGCAAAGCACTAACACCAAGAAGCTGTAGTTCCCTTCTAGGCACAGTTTTCAGAGACAAGAAACGATCAATTAGGTTGATGGTGAGGTAGAGAGTCTCAGGGGACAGGTCAAACTTGATATGAACTTGTACAAGCCAATCTATAAGGATTGATCTCATCTTCTCATTAATCTCAGGCTGTGTATGCATATACATCTGAGGCTTGCTCTCATTCTGCAACAAGAAACCAAACATCAATAAACAATCACAAAACTTGTCCACATAGAGGATCTGACCATATAAGTACCTCAACTTCTTTGTAGAAAGTGTGCATGTCTTCAACATACTCCGGAGCAGCAAGGTCATTGTCTTTGTCAACAGAGTCAATATCCAGAGTCTTAGAAGAAGCAGCAGCCTAAGTAAATCAAACCAAACAATCAATCAGTAGACAAAAAGTAAAGAAACATTGCACAATATGTTATTTTCAATGGCAATCAAAGAAAGAATCTTACCTTGCTTCGAGCATCAAGAACCGAAGAGTATGTAACTTTCTTCTTAGAAGCTGCATCGTTTTGCTTCTTCTCTTTAGCTTTTGCAACCTCGTTAGTATCAGGACTGATCACAATCACTTCAATAGGTTTTAATTTAACAAGAGCTCTTTGTTTCTTTTGATCACCTTCTTGTTTCTTGGTAACATGAACAACAACAGAAGCCTTGATTTTCTGCTTAGCGAGCAAAAAACAAGAGTCAGATTCAACAATCACTCTAAAAAACAAGATTTGAGTCTCGCAAACAAGAAAAAGAAAACCTTTTTATTAGCGGCGGCTCCAGCTTGTGCGTTTTCTAGTAACTGAGAACGAAAGGGGGGATTAGCCGGTGGCTTTACTCCATGGACTCCGGCAAGAGAAGCGATGTTTCCGATGTCGCCAAGAGCACGACGATTCTTTGCAGCTGCGTTTTTCACGTCGACGGGATCACCTGTTTGTTTTTTCAAACCCATCATCAAGATTTGGAAAATTGCAGCGATTCAGGAAAAAACAAAATCTGACGAAATTCAAATCAAAACAACCGATTGAAAGAACCCATGATCTAAATTGACAAAACCCTAGGGTATGAGAAAAAGGGGAAAATAGAAATCAGAGTGATCGGATTTGGATCAAACCTCTGACTTGTTGATGAACAACTTGTCTCGTCGCCATGATCGTTTCTTCTTGAGGATTAGAGAGAAAATGGTTTCTTATTGGGAACAAAAAGGAAAGGAGGGAGGATCCAAAGAATCAAATTTTTAGCGGGGTTAGATATTACCCGTTGGATGATAAAGTTTAGATCCAACGGTGGATAAAAGGAGTTACCGTTCGACTGTAGGCCTTTTAAAATTTTTTATTTTCCTTTAATTTAATGACTAGGTTGGAGTTTTAAATACAGTTTTGTTTTCCATTTATGGCCAGGTTGGAGTTTAAATGATTTTTTTTTTCTATAATTGGTTTTATTTTGTCTTTTTGGTTCCATTTTCTATTTGTTGTTCGTTTAAAACCAATAAAACTTTTAATTTATAAATTGGTCGTTTATTTTTAAAAAATATATATATAACTAATCCATTATTTTGATAAAACATGGGTATTATATATTACAGATTATCGCTTAATGTTTTTGCTAAGCAGATGTTATAATAATATGTCTTTTTTTTTTTTCCAAATAGAGAACCTAATTGAAAAGGCCACATGCTTGAAAGGCCTTCCTTCTCTGTTCCAAATAAAGCATAGTGTTATTTGGTTTCATCTCTGAGCCACAAGAAAAAGCGAATCTTTTTGTATAAATCTACCAACTAGGAAACATTACACTTAATGGAATTGAATTAAGAGTTTACCTGACGAAGCTGAAATGGACACCGAAACTTCGATGAGTAGCACCACAATGGATGCAGAGGAAAATTCTGTATGTAATCGATGCCCATGTCGGATTCTTCGCACTACAATCGAAGCATTCCTACAAATCCAAACAAGAATTATGATCCCAATCGAACAACGATACAATCGAATAGAAATCCAAACAATACTTTGTTCTCAGGTTTTGCTTTTAGTTCGGTAAAAACAAGATTTTGGTCGGTAAGAAGCAGCCATCGAAGAAGAAAATACTATAGGGGTTTAAAATAATAAATTTGTTTTTTTTTAACATCTAGTAACCCATATATATTAAAGAGCATTACGCCAAAGTTTGATTACAAGAGATCACCCAGGGAATTACAACCAAACATTTCATTCCTATACCAAAAAGGAAGAAAAGTTCTCAAATTTAACCGCAAAGATCGAAAAAACTATCTATTTCCCCACGATAACTTTGCTATATGCTTATATGGAGCCCAACTGTTTACCTCCGTACCGATGTCCCTGAATCGAAAGTTAAATGTCTATTTCACCATGAAATCAATTTTGGTTTGGTTTCAGTAGTTACCGACAGAAAACCTAGAACACAAAAAAAACCGAAAACCCCGAAATTAAACCGAACCAAAAACCCGATTGAATCTCAGACCCGACCGTTTTTACCCGATTCTGTTTCCTTTTTCTTAAAACTCCAAAAAAATTCAAAAGAAAGCCAAAAACAGAGGGTCACGAACTTTCTACGACAAAGAGTTCTTCCAACCAA